CTCGTCCCTATCGGCGGGCGGGGCAGGGGCAAACCCTTAGCTCGCGAGATTTTGCTAGTTCCGCATTTCGGATTGACGAAGCGGGGGAGGCGGGCGAGGTGGGCGCAGCGGCTTCTACTGGCTTGCACCGGCTTGACTCCCGGCTCGGAGCAGCGGCGGCTCGGGTTTCCGCTGTCCGCGGGCTGAGGACCATCGGCTTCCTCTCGGTTCCTGCGCCGACTCCGAATCCTGTCTGCGGCGGGGGGCGGTGGCCCCTCCCCTCTAAGGACCGAAGATGAGCTTCCTCTTGTGAGTGTGGCCGGGCCGGGGGCGCCGGAGCCAAGCGCCGGGGTCGGGGAGGGCGTTCGGGGGACCTGAGGCGAGGGCCGGGGCCCATCTGGGCCTCGGGGTCGGGGTAGCCGGCGTTTGTTCTGCCCCTGCTCGGGTCTGCTGGGGGCGGGGAGCGCGGGGCTGGGTCGTGAAGGGAGGCTGACGGAGATGAAGGCCGAGGCAAAGGAAGCGGACGGAAAAGGTTGAGGAGTCGAAAGGCCCCGAGGTCGGTAGCGCCTCCAAACTTTTCCGCCCGAGCGCTCCTGAGGGCGGAGAGACGATCGGGGGGCGGAGCCCCGGGCCGCGCTGCGGGCTTCACATTTCTTTCCAGCCTCAGAAAACGTTCCATTCTACCTTAGATTTTTCTCCGTTATGTATCTGGTTTTATTATTGTCAGTATTTGAAATTACCCCCACGGAAAAATGCCGCCTCCGAAAAATGCGGAGCTCGGCAGTTTGAGAAGCTCCGAGTTAAAATGCACTCCCTGCAGCCAGACCGAACTGTCCAGTTCTGATTCTGCCCACTTAGTGACTTTGATAAGTTAACTAACTTCTCTTTCCCTTGATATAAACTCGTGTTAGAGATACTGGCCCAAATGAGGCTGGAATGGAAAAGTATGTAAATCCTCTCATGATTCTTACACACATTAATGTTTGAGAAGCATTGCTTTGGGACCTAATTTTTTATTCTCAGGGAACACTCTTTATATTGCATTATTGCTTAAGTATGCGTTATATGGTTGAATAAATATCCATTTAGTTATGGACATAATCCACATACTTGTCATTATGTATTACGCAGTGTGTCGTAAGATTCCTATAAAAATCAAACCCGTTGCCGTCGAGTAGATTCCGACTCATAGCGACCCTAGAGGAGAGTACAGCTGCCTTATAGGGTTTCCGAGGAGCTGGCTGGGTGGATTCGAACTGCTCACCTTTTGGTTAGCAGCCCTGCTCTTAACCACTGTGCCACCAGGGCTCCAAGATTACTATATCAGGGTTTATTTAACCAATTCTTCATTGTGAGAAATTTGGATTCTATTATTTTGCTATTATGAAATAGCGGTACTAAAAATGTCTGTCCAAATTGCGTTTTCCCTCCTTTGGGTTATTAAGGGCATAGTTTCCAGAGTATGATTACCATGTTAAAGAATGTGTGATGCAGATTTTAATTACAAATTTCCATATTACTAGAACAGTAACACCCCCCACCACCACCACCCCCAATCTTTTGCTTATGAGTTGATGTTTAGTTAGTGGTTTGTTTGTGGATGTATTATTGCTTTTTGGACCTAAATGTGAGGCTGTTAATTTCTTTTAAATTTTGTCTTTGGTAATTTGCCCTTGCTCTACATGCTGTGATCATATTGAAACTTTTGTTTTTTCGATAACAGTTTTATTAAGATACAATTCACATACCATAAAAGTCACCTTTTTAAAAGTGTACGATTCAGTGGTTTTTAATATATTCATAGAATTGTGCAACCATCACCACTAATTCTAGAACATTTTTCATCACCCCAAAAAGAAATCCCATGCACATTAGCAGTTACTCTCCATTCCCCTGGAAGTAGACCACTAGTCTGCTTTCTGTTTCTATAAAAACAAAAAACCAAACTCATTGCCATTGAGTTGTAGATTTGTCTAATCTGGCCATTTATTATCCATGGCATCATGTAATCCTACGAAACATTTAGCACAATGTTTTCGAGGTTCATCCAGCCGCTGCTAGAAAACCCTGGGAGGCATTTCTGCTTTGTCCTCTAGGATTGCTCTGAGTCGGAATTGACTCGGTGGCAGTGGGGATCCATCTTGTAGCCTGTATCAGTACTTCATTCTTTTTTATGGATGAATAATATTCCATTGTATGGATGTACCACATTTTGTTTATATCCATTCATCAGATGATGGATATTTGGGTTGTTTCAACTTTTTGGCTATTGTGAATTATGCTGCTATGAACATTCACGTACAGGTTTTTGTGTGAACGTGTGTTCATTTCTCTTGGGTATAGACCTGGGAGTGGAATTGCTGGGTCATATTGTAACTATGTTTAAGCTTTTGAGGAGCTGCTAAACTGTTTTCCAAATAGGGTATACCATTTTACGTTCCCATCAGCAGTGTATGAGGGTCCCAGCTTTTCACAGCCTCATCCACACTTGTTATTACTGTATTATTTTTTGTATTAAAGCCATCATAGTGGGTGTGAAGTGTTATCTCATTGTGGTTTCGATTTGCATTTTTCTCATGACTAATAATGTTGAACATCTTCTTGTGTTTATTGGCCATTTGTATGTCTTCTTTGGAGAAATGTTTATTCAAATCCTTTGCCCTTTAAAAAAAAAATTAATACACTTTGTTTATTTAGAGCAGTTTTTCATTTACAGAAACATTGCACAGATAGTACGGAGAGTTCCCATACATGCCCTCTCTTCCTTACACGCAGTTTCTCCTGTTGTTAACAGCTTGCATTAGTTTGGTACGTTTGTTGTAATTGATAAACTGGTATCCATACATTATTATTAACTAAAGTCCGTAGTTTAGATTAGGTTCACTCTTTATGATGTACAGTCCTTTGGATTTTGACAAATGCGTAATGTCATGTATCCACCATACAGTGTCATACAGAATAGTTTCACTGCCCTTAAAATGTCCTGTGCTTCACTGTTCATCCTTCTCTTCCTCCCCCTGAGCCCCTGGCAACCACCCATCTTTTTACTGCCTATAATTTTGCCTTTTCCAGACTGTCATGTAGTTGGAATCATACAGTATGTAGCTTTTTCACTGGCTTCTAATTTAGCAATATGCATTTAAAGTTCCACCATTTCTTTGTGTCTTGATAGCTCATTTCTTTTTATCACTGAATAATTCTCCTCTGAATGGATGTATGAGGGATCCCTCATGGCGCAGTGGTTAAGTGCTAGGCTGCTAACCAGAAGGTTGGCAGTTCGAACCCACAAGCTATTCTGCAGAAGAAAGATGTGGCTGCCTCTGTCCATAAAGAATACAGCCTTGGAAACCCTATGGGACAGTTCTACTCTGTCCTGTGGGGTTGCTGTGAGTCGGAATCGACTTGATGGCAGTGGGTTTGGTTTGGGTTTTTGGTATGGATGTACCACAGTTTGTCCATTCAGCTATGGAAGGGCATTTTGGTTGTTTCCAGTTTTTGGCAATTATGAATAAAACTGCTGTAAACGTTTGTGTGCAGGTTTTTGTGTGGACATAGGGTTTCAGCTCTTTTGGGTAAAAACCTAGGAGTGCAGTATGCTGTTGGTGAAGAAACAGACAAATAGGTCACTGGAACAGAATAACGAGTCCAGAAATAGATCATGCCAATAGAGTCGACTGATCTTTGACAAAGGAGCAAAGGCAGTTCAGCGGAGAAAGGATAGTCTTTTCAACACATGGTGCTGGAACAACTAGACATCCACATGCAAAATAATGAACCTAGAAACTTACTTTACATCTTTGACAAAAATTAACTTATAATGGATAATAGATCTAAATATTAAACACAAAACTGTACAGCTTCTAGAAGATAACATAGGAGAAAATCCAGGTGACCTTGGGTTTGGCAATAAGTTTTAGAAACAATAAGAAAAACATGATCCGTAAAAGAAAAAATTGATAAGTTATACCTTATTAACATTAAAAACTGCTCCGTAAAAGACACTGCTAAGAGAACAAAAAGACAAGCCACGTACAGGGAGAAAATATTTGCAAAACACGTATCTAATAATGCACTTGTGTCCAAAATATACAAAGAACTCTTAAAATTCAATAGTAAGAGAACTTTCCTTATGGATTGTGTGAAATAGTGATAAAAATGTTAGTATCACCAAATATTTTGGTATAGAAAACTGGATTTTTGAGCTATGAGAACCTTGTTGTTAGGTGCTGTCAAGTCATTTCCAACTCACAGTGCCCCAAATGTGACAGAGTAGAAGAACTGCCTCATAGAGTTTCCTAGGCTATAATCTTTATGGGAGCAGATCGCCATGTCTTTCATCCACAGAGCAGCTGTGTGGGTTCTAACCACCAATCTTTCAGTTAGCAGCTGAGCGCTTAACCGTTGCACCCCCAGGGCTCCTTCTTGAGAACCTGAAGGATTATTTATTCCAATTCTCTGCCTCCCTCCCAACACCATTTTTTGTAGGTGGAAATTGAGGCAAAAAGGAGGTTTGGTTTCTTGGGCAGTCACAGGCTCAGTGGTGATGGAGTAAAATCCAGATTTCTTCTTCTTTTGGTAAAGCGTCCCTTTCTATTATATCAGACTGCTTCACGAGGCATAGTAAAATTGCCTTCTTTGTGAAATTGGTTTGCTAATCTTATTTTTATGTGCAGAAAAAAAATTAAAGCATTCTTTTATTGTGATCATCATTTTTCCCCTTCATTCTGGCATTTTTCAGGGAGTATTTTATTTTACAGAACAATTTTTATGCCTAAAATTACGCCATTCTGCTTCCCATCCTAAAAATTGATGTAATTTTCACTTAACAGCAGTAGCCGTTCTTCTAAAACATTCAAACCAAAGAAGAATATCCCAGAAGGGTCTCATCAGTATGAACTCTTAAAACATGCAGAAGCAACTCTAGGAAGTGGGAATCTGAGACAAGCTGTTATGTTGCCAGAGGGAGAGGACCTCAATGAATGGATTGCTGTTAACAGTAAGTTTTTAATAACATTCAGCTTCACTGGTTATATAAAGATTTTGCTTGGTTTTTTTTGTTGTTGTTTGTTTTGTTTTTGTTAATTTTCTTTTGCAGGTATGACTGTTGTAATAGGTTATAAAGACGCACATCAGTACAAATGTATCCAAAACTGTGCTGTGCTCTTCAGAATACTTGACGGTAACTTGCGTGGTTGAGTAGAGGGACCTGAGGAGAAACGATGGGTTCTTTGGGGTAATTTCTGAGAAGAATGATATGACTAGCTGAGTAAGGTCAAATGAAAAATTGATGGCTGCAAAGATTCTATCTGTGGTGGACCGTGACTTTGTAGGGAATCCATCTGTGCCATTGTTCCTTTCACCCCACCCCCAACAGCACTCATCTGCCTGTGTATGAGAACAACAAAGTCCATTGCAGCCGAAGCTAGGGTTGTTGTTTGGCTGGTCGGTAGTGCAGAGAGCTGGTAAGAAGAAATTTAATTTGTTAAAAACTTTTTAATGGAAATTTTAAAAGATACAAATGTAGAGAAACTAGTATAATGAATTCCCATGTATCCGTTATCCAGTTTCAACAGTTACCAGTTCATGGCTAATCATGTTTCTTTTATATCCCACCCTGATCATTTTGAAGCAAATCCAAGACATGTTATTCTATCTATAATTATCGCAGTAAGTATCTCTAAAACACAAGAACCCCCCTTTTAAAGATAATGAGAATACCATCATTTCTTAACATTATCAGATACACAGTCATTGTTCGTATTTCCTTGATTGTCCTAGAAATTTTTTTTTTTTTTTTTTTTTTTACCTATGGTGGTTTAAATCAGGATCCAAATGAGGCCTGTACATTATTTCTTGAATCTCTTTTAATCCATAGGTTTTCCCACATTGCAGTCTTCTTCCGTCGTTATTTTGTTGTTGTAGTTGCAGAAACATGGTCATTTGTTTTCCATGGTATGAATTTTGCAGATCGTATCCCCAAGGCATCCATTATCATGTCCTGTTCCTCTTCATATTTCCTGTAAATGTTAGACCTAGAGCAGCACTGTCCAGTAGGATTTTCTGCGATGTGGAAATGTTCTCTGTTCTGCACTGTGGCTACTTAGCACTTGAAATGTGGCTAGTGTGACTGAATTTTAAATTAAATTTTAACTAATTTAAATGTAAATAGCCATATGTGGCTAGTGGCTCCTATGCTGGACAGGCAGATCTAGAGCCTTGATCAAAATCAGGTTCAAATTTTTTTGTTTGTTTGCTTTTTGCAAGCCTGCTTCATAGGTGGTGGTTTATACATCCATCAGTGCATCAGTGTAGATACTTCCATAACGTGTAGTTGTCTTTCTGTGTGGTTTTAAGCAGCTGTTGTAATCATTGCTTTGATCTGTGCTATCTGGTAGAAGTGTAATGTAAGCTACATCTGTAATTTTTAAATTTTTTAGTAGTCACATTTAAAAAAACAGGTAAAATTTATTAATATATTTTGTTTAATATCTCTGGCTCATTTCAACATGTTATCAATATAAAAATTATTTTTTATATAAAAATTATTAATGAGATATTTTTACAGTCCTTTTTTTGTAGTAAGTCTTCCAAATCCGGTGTGTATTTTACACTTATAGCACATCTCAGTTTAGACTGCACATTTCAAGTGCTCAATAGCCACATGAGCCTAGTAGTTAAGCTACTGGACAGTGCAGATCTAGAGTCATTAATTCATTAGGGGATGCAAAGTGGTGATACTCTAATTCTGTCATTCCTTTTTTTATTAGCTAAAAATCTATATAAAAGAGAAACTTTCCCATGTCAACTATTTGGTTATCCTGAGGTACAACTTATACAGGAAAGTCATTGTCTGGGAAGAATAACGCCCCCCTAAAGATTCCATGTCTAAATCCCTAGTACATGTGAATGTTACCTTATATGGCAAAAAGGATTTTGCAGATGTGATTAAGTTAAGGATCTGTGATAGATTATCCTGGGTATTGGGCTGCTGGTGGTGGTGGTCGTTAGGTACCGTCCAGGCTATTTCAACTCATAGCGAACCCATGTGACGGAGTAGAACTGCCTCATAGGGTTTTCTAGGCTGTAATCTTTTTGTTGTTGTTGTCGTTGAGAATATACACAGCAAAACATAAACCAATTCAACAGCTTCTACACGTACAATTCAGTGATATTGATTACAAGTGGTCTGGTTATGTAGCCATTCTCACCCTCCTTTTCTGAGTTGTTATTCCGCCATTAACATAAACTCCCTGCTCCCTAAGGTTCCTAGCTAGTCGTCTATTGTCAATCTAAATTGCTACTATCAGTTTGATCCCTTATAGATCTTAAAAAAGCAGAATGCTCAAGGCAAACATTCTGTTTTAGTTAAGCTGAACTATTGTTTGGTTTTAAGAAGACTTCAGGGGACTAGGCTGTAATCTTTATGGGAGCAGATCGCCAGGTCTTTCTCTGGGTCGGTTCCAGTCAAACTGCCAACCTTTCAGTTTGCAGCCAAGAGTTTAACGATTGCATCACCAGGGCTCCATATAGATATTTGGATGAGCCCAGTATAATCACAAGTGTCCTTATAAATGAAAAAGGGAGGCAAGAGAGTCAGAGAAAAAAGATATGACAATGTAAGCAGAGGTCGGAGTGATAGGATTGGCTGATTGTCCATGAGCCAAGGAATGTAGGCAACCTCTAGAAGCTGGAAAAGGCAAGGAAACAGGTTCTCCCTAGAGCCTCCAGAGGAACACAGCCCTGCCTTCACCTTGACTTTAGTCCCATAGGACCTGTTTCGGACTTCTGACCTCCAGAACTATAAGATAATAAATTTGTTTTGTTTTGAGCCACTAAGTTTGTAGCACAGGTAGTTCCCGACTTACGACGTATTTGAGTTATGACGAACCGCACTTACGGCTGTTTTTTTGTTGTTGTTAAATTTTATCGTTAGTGCTACATACAGTGTTGCAGCCCACAATTTGCTGATATTATCATTCTCAGATGTTCACTTGAAGATGTTCAAAGATTGAGTTTATAAAAATACTGATAATAAAAGGCAATAATAATGAAAACTAAAAGTAAAAAGAGGTATTTGACTTATGATGGAGTCGTCAGAGCGGAAACCCCATCATAAGTCGGGGACTACCTATAATTTGTTACTAGCCGCATATTAGCAATAGGAAGCTAGTATAGTCGGGATAGTACTTGATTCTTTCCCTTAATTTACCCATTTTCACAATAATAAGTTGGTTTCCTAGTATCTTCCAAGGAACCTCAAGGACGCATGGATTTAAACATACTTTTTATGTGTATGTATATCCATATATGTGTGTATATATATGTATATATGTATGTATATATATATTTATATATATTTATATACACATACACTTAAATATATGTATATATAGGTACATAATATCAATTCATTATAGTTATTATTATATTGATCTTCAAAATGTCCCATCTTTAACTAGTGGGAGCCTATTTAAGTTGGCTCTAGAGATAATTGGTAAATGTTGCGGCAGCCACTAAAAGCTCTTAGAACGCTGTCTAGGTTGTTAGTCTGTTCTCTGTCCCTAGGAGATTACTGTAAAGCTAAATTGTATGCTGTCTAATCGATTCCAACTTGTAGTGACACTATAGGACAGATTAGAACTGCCCCATAGAGTTTCCAAGGCTATAATCTTTATAGAGCAGATCGCCAGGTCTTTCTCCTGCAGAGCTGCTGGTGGATTCAAACGGCCAACCTTCTGGTTAGCAGCCAATCACTTAACCGTTGCACCATGAGGGCTCCTTGCAAAGCTTAGTAGGCCCCAAATTTGGAATGATCAGTACTGTGCCTTAGGGATGGGATTTCGGAATGGGGCTGTGAGGAGCTTGGCAGATGCTCTCCCCAGTGAAACAACCATTTAGCTGGTGAAAATTATACGATGTAACCATTAAAAGTCTCAGAAAATAGACCTAAGGGCATACAGAAAATTGAGAAGCATTTATTCACTAAACTACTAAATCTCAGTAAGAAGAGTGGGAGTCAGTGGTTATTAAGACAGATCTTGCTCCCGTCCCTACCCCTATCCCCATCCCCAGGTCTGCATTATGGATACTACTGTCAAGAAAATGGAACCCTGGTGGTGCAGTGGTTAAGAGCTCAGCTGTTAACTAAAACGTCAGCAGTTCAAATCCACTATCTGCTCCTTGGAAACCCCGTGGGGCAGTTCTGTGTCCTGTAGGGTCGCTACGAGTCGGAATCGACTCGATGGCAACAGGTTTACGGGTCAAGAAAATGGAGGCTCCCTTTCCTACTAGTTCCTGGTTGTAAGGCTATGGTTTTACCCCAGGATGAGATGGCCCACTGACTCCTGTCATCCCTTGTCTTGCCGACTCCCTCCCAGAGAATGGAGGCTCCACACTGGGAAGGGCAAGTTGAGAAGACTATGGGCTACCATACATCCCTGCCGCCTGCCCCCAACCCCCAACATAGCCCCCAGTTGGAGGGAGGAACAATTAAGAGAAGGCTCATAGCTACACGAAACTATTAGCAGCAAACTTAATGGCAGACCAACCAGAAATTTAACAGAGAAAGAGGAAAAAGAAGTTGAAAAATGGCCCTGCTAAGAGTGTGTGCCTGTGCTAGGCTATACCCACTCAGGAGCAACTGGAGTGGCCCTTGAGAGCTACTAGTCCCTGAATGAACATGGGGCAGACTTGAAGGCATTCCCCAAGCCTCACATAGATCCATTAGTAAAGGGAGGAAGCCTTTCTGGCTAAAGGGGCTTAAGCATACCTCTGACTGATCACTGGCTAAACACTAAGCTATACTGACCCAGGGGTAACTCATAGGTAGCCATGCTTAAAAACAAGGTAAGAGGAGGGGGGCACCTGAGTAGTGACATCACAGGCTGCACACTGGAGGGAGAAATAGAACTCACAGAATTAGTCCAGGCAAGCCAATAAAGAAAAAACAGTAATAACCACAAGCATTAGTGGTTGGGTAGAGAGGCAGTCAGAATCTAGAGTTGGTAAAATATTTTATCTAAAATATCCAGTTTATAAAATATATATATGAGACATGCAAAGAAACAGGATAGTATGACCCTTGTTCGGGGGGAAAAAGCAGACTGTAGCTATTGCCTTTGAGGGGGCCCAGATGTTTGGCCTAGCAGACAAAGACTTCAAAGCAACTAATCTAAATATGTTCACAGGACTAAAGGAAACCATTTTTAAAGAATTAAAGGAGAGTATGATGAAAATGACTCATCAAATACAGAATATCAGTAAAGAGAAGTTATAAAAAAGAACCCAATGGAAATTCTGGAGTTGAAAAGTATAATAACTAATGAAATACAGAATTCATTAGAAAGGCTCAGTTGTATATTTGAGCTGGCAGAAGAAAGAATTGGTGAACTTGAAGATGGATCGTTAGATTTTATACATTCTGAAAAATGGAAAGAACAAAGTGTGATGAAAAATGAACAGCCCCAGAGACCTGTAGGACACCATTAAATGCACCAACATACTTACAATGGGAGTACCAGAAGGAAAGGAAAGGAGCAGAAAAAATATTTGAAGAAATAATGGCTGAAAACTCCCCAAACATGAAAAACACATCTAAGAAGCTCAAAAACTCAAAGTAGGATAAATAACAAAAGATCCATGCCCTGACACAGCATAGTCAGAATGTTAAAAGACAAAGAGAAAATTTTGAAAGTACTGTGTCTTAACCAGCTCACTTAAATCCAAAGATGAAACCTGTGCTAAAATTTCAAGATTAAACTAGTATAGAGCTTGAGTGTATGATATTTTTTCAATGGAGTCATTTGGGATCATATAGTAAATTTTATCCTGTACACTTAACTTGGTCTTTAAAGTTGTCTAGAATAGAATTGCAGTTTGCCAGGGGATTTAAAACAAGACTTCCTGAAAGTTTTAATGGTGGTTTCTCCATCTTTAGAATAGTAATTGCTAAGTCACATCTTGATGAATGGTGAATTGCTACATGGAGAGAGAATAGAAATACGTAGTCTACACTGGTGCAGTTAAACGTTTTTCCCATTGTCATAGAGGAAAGGCAAAAAGTGGCGTACCTAATTGCAGGTGTTCACATGCCTTTTGGTTTTCCTTGAGCAAAGGGAAAATGCTTTACTGAATTACAGGTATTTGCTAATAACTAATATTGCAGTTTCAATTTTTAACTTCTTTACTAAGTTGAAAACAAGTAGAGAGCTATGGTTGGCGTTAAGAAATGGAAGTAGTGAATATCTGGGTGGATCACAGGCAGCTTCCTGGCCAGTTTTCTCTTTTACAACTAAAGAAATGATTCCTTGGGAAAATGGAGTCTAGCCTTTGTTTTTCTTAGCCATATGCATATTGCTAAGAGCAAAAAACAAGGTGAGGAGCTCTGTAGTATGCTCTGTACTATGTGTAAGAAAGGGTTGAGAAACTTAGAAACTTAGGATGTGGGAGACAGAAAATCAATAAAGTGGTTATTTGTGTATAAGGGTTGGAGTTGGAGGGGTTAGAATTTAGATTTTTCACTGTATATTTTTATATATTGTTTTGATATCTGAACCATGTGAAGTTTTAGCTATTAAAAAGAAAATCTTTGTTTTTAAACTGTATTCAAATTATCATGTCATTCTGAAGTCGAGCCCCCTGGGTAGTGCATAGCGCAAAGAGTTAAACGCTGGACTACTACGTGAAATGTTGGCGGTTTCAATTCACCCACAGGCGCTTCAGAAGACAGCTCTGGTGATCTGATTCCAAAAAGTCACAGCCTTGAAAACTCTATGGATCAATTCTACCCTGCACATGTGGGCGGGGTCACTGTGAGTTTGGAATTAACTCGACAGCAACAATTCTGAAGGCATCTGTCGGCTTTTTTCAGCCTTAGGTTTGTCTTTGAGACTTATTGTTCTAGATCAGTGGTCTCAAACCTGTGGTTGCAGACTCCCTTTATTCTCTTAAAAATTATTGAGGATCCCAAAGAGTTTTGAATTATGTAGGTTATATCTAGTGATAGTTACTGTTAGAAATTAAAACTAAGAAATTTTTTGAATAGTTATTTTTACACTTGTTTAAAAATAATAGCATTATGTGTTTCAACATAAATATGATATTTTTATTAAAAATGGCTGCTTTCCAGAGCAAATTTTAATGAGAAATGTGTCAGTGTTTTACATTTTTGCAAATCTTATTTAACATCTAGCTGAATAGAAGACAGCTAGATTCTTGTATCTGCTTCTACATTCAATCTCTTGTGATATCACACATCATGGAGCCTCTGGGAAACTCTACCATACCCTCTTGAGAGATGGAGAGTAAAAAGAGCAATTAAAATAGTTTTGACCTCACAAACCCCCCTGAAAGAAGAGATCCCTGGACCACATTTGGAGAACAGCTGCTTTAGACCAATAAACCAGAACACCTTCTGGGCATGCTCTTTGTTTTGAATGAATATTGAGTGCCTAAATGTTATTTTCTTAGAAACATGACTAATGAAGTGGAGCGTTTCTGTTTATTAAGAAACTTGGAAAAGCCCTAGTTGATTTTTAGGGACTCTTTCAGACAGGGAACCAAAACATTTTTAAAAACTTTCCAAGGCTTATGTAGTTCTCTTGGCACAGTGATATGCTTCACTTAGTTTAAAGCGTATTACTTACCCCTTCCTCTTCCATTTTCTTCCAGACCTAGCTGATCCTCCACCTCCTTTAGGAAGCATTACCTGACAAAGCAGATCTTCATGGTGTCGCTTTTTTCTGAATTCTGCGCACTTATTGTTGGTCTTTGGATCCTGTCTTCCTATATCTTATATTATTCATTTCGCTTAAATTTGTCACTCTGTCAGGTGGAGACTCTAGGGCAAAGGACTTTAACCTGTATTTTCATGTTTTGACTGTGCAGTAGGCCTCAGATGTTTATGATGAATTGGATTTTTAGAATGCCTGTTGACACAGCAGTTATACCTTCCTCACAGCATATTTGTTCCTCAGCACTTTTCTTCTCTTTCCTAACACGAATGGTATTGTCTGGTCCAGACTGATTAGAAGCTATGAATTTTTCATTCTCTTGAATACTATGAAATATCCAAAGGGAAAAATTATACATTCTAATAATGTAATATTCACCATTAAGGAGCCTGGGTAGCGCAAGCAGTTTGCAATTGGTTACTAACCTAAAGGTTGGCAGGTCAAACCCACTCAAGGGTTCCATGGAAGAAACAGCTTTCATAGCAATTATAGCCAAGTAAACCCTATGGAGCAGTTCTCTTAACACATGGAGTTGCCGTGAGTTGGGGGCTGACTTGACAGCAGCTAAGAACAGCAATAATATTCTTCATTAAGTTTGAATTATTTTTAATATTTATTATCCTGCTGTTGTTTTCTGGTTAAAAGCTTAATAATAATGTATTAGTGCTTCTGTTCTGCCTCCTAGTTCATTGTGTAGTGCCTGGGGTCTTAAAAGCTTACAAGTGGTCATCCAAGGCCTAACAATTAGTCTCTATTCGCCTGGAGCAAAAGAGGAATGAGAAGAGTCAGGAGTAGGAGGAAGATATAGAATGTGTGGCTGACTGCCTCCATAAACAACTGCCTCCTTTGCCACCAGACCAAAAGAACTGGATGGTGCCTGGCTACCATTACTGAACATTTTGATCAAAAATTCTATAGCAGAATCCTGAGCAAAAGGGGGGAAATGCAGAACAGAATTTCAGGTTGTCATGGGCTTTAGATTTTCTGGAGCCGTGGAAGCTGGATGAATCCCTGAAACCATTGCCCTAAGATAATCTGTAAACATTCAACCAAAAATATCCCAAGTCTTCTTAAAACCAAACAGTAGTTTAGCTTATCTAGTAAAAAATGTCTGCCTTGAGCTTTATGCTCTTTTAAGAATCATCTGTATGGGATCAAATTGACAACAGCAACTTAAAAGATTAGATAGAAATCTTTGGGGGCAGTGAGTTAATGTTAATGGGAGAGGAACAACTCGGAAAAAGAGAGTGAGAATGGTTGCACAACTCAGTGAATGTAATCAGTGTCACTGAATTGTACATGTAGAAACTTGAATTGGTGTATGTTTTTGCTGTGTATATTCTCAACGATAACAAAAAATGAAATTTTTCTTTTAAAAACTTAATGTATTAAAAATGAGTATATTAAAAGTTAATTTTATTTAGGACTAACAACTTAAAAAAAGAGAATTTACAGTATCACCTGATTGTTGAATCTCCCTAAGGGTTCAACTAGGAACTTAAAATGCATTGTAAATTTTTTCTTTGACTAAGATTTGATGTTTTGCTGTGTTTTAACACAATTCTGCTATTCTCCTTTCAGCTGTGGATTTCTTCAACCAGATCAACATGTTATATGGAACGATTACAGAATTCTGCACTGAAGCAAGCTGTCTGGTCATGTCTGCAGGTCCACGGTACCTACACTGTTATGTAAAGTGAAAACCAAACCTCTGGCCATTGAGTTGATTCTGACTCAGTGACTCTATAGGACAGAGTAGAACTGCCCCATAGGGTTTCCAAGGAGCAGCTGGTAGATTTGAACTGCCGATCTTTGTGGTTAGCAGCCCTATCTCTTAGCCACTGCGCCACCATGGCTCCACACTATTATATAGGTGTTTGAATTACTTTAGATTTATCACTAATTGTTATAAGTGAAATAAAGTATTTTTGTTTTATTATCTGTTTGCTTTCTTGTGTAAAGGCAGTTCAGTTTTACAAGTTCTTGAATACTTCTCAGGAGACTGAAGAAAACATTAAAATTTCAGGACCTCTGAAGTTTGAGTAAGGAGCCCTGGTGGCTGCTAACCAAAAGTTCAAATCCACCAGCCACTCCTTGGAAACTCTATGGGGCAGTTCTGCTTTGTCCTATACGGTCTCTGTGAGTCGGAATCGATTTGACAGCAATGGGTTTGGTTTTTGGTGTTTTTTTACCTATAAGCTTTTAGTTATTATTGAATACTTTATTCTGTGAGTACTCAGTGTTTTGATTTTATAGTTGCATCATCGTAAACATGAATGTTCTGTCATAGGAATAAAGGGATAAAAATTTGAGTTACGTTTATCTTGCATTTCAAAAGTTCTGGTTTTTTCAATTTTGTTAACATTTATGGTTCCTGTTTCTAGTATGTAAATGAATTCTTGGCAAAGTTTTTAGCTGGCTTTTTAATATTTGATTTTGTGTGTCTGTGTATGTGCTTATTTAGTGTAAACTAAAGCAGTACAATTTAGAAAAAATTATCCGGCATAAAGGTGCTAGATTAAAAAATATGATTATAGTAAATTTCAAAAAATATTGAAAGAAAGATGGAACTCTTTATCACCAGCAATGTTAAGTCAAAGTATGATGGGATTAATGTTTTGGTATGTTTCCTTCCAGTCTTTTTTCCTGTAATAGACAACTAGTTTTATGTGCTGATAGTTGGCATCAGGGTATTTTTTCTCTTGAAAAAAAAATATTCTTTCTAACTTTACTGCAGTTATAAAGGAGAAAACATCCCCAGTGGGTTTGTGGTTCTGTTTTTGTTACAGTGTTTTAGGAGGAATGTTTTTATTCTGTGTTTTGTTAAGTTTTGTTCCTCAAACTTGTTTTAAAAATTAAAATAGAAAAATTGAATTTATCTATGCCTTAAATGTTTTACACAGTGATGTTTTACATGACCTTTGTTAATCATTCTAGCTCAGCAAAAGGAGGGGGCGGTGTGTGAAGAATGCATGCCTAATGTGTTTCTCTAACACCTTCCCCAGGGAAAGAGTTTCATAATCTTAGTTCTGCTAGTGATAACTTGATGGTCAAGTGTATAAGAATATAGTGGATTCATCAGCCCTTTACCCAGTCCTCAGCATCCTCCTAACAGGCAGGAATGAGTTTCCTCCAGACTCGCTTTTTTCTTCTAACTATAACCATCACATTTCAGAATAATTCTATAGGGAACTCTCACAAATCTTCAATAAAACTTTTAGTAATTTATTAAAGTTATATATAGCTTCCATTGATAAAAGGTGAACCTGGTTTGAATACAAGTTTCACATTTGTTAATGTTTTTGAAAATATTAAATATTTTTCTCTCCAGATACGAATATCATTGGGCAGATGGTACTAATATTAAAAAGCCAATCAAATGTTCTGCACCAAAATATATTGACTATTTGATGACTTGGGTTCAGGATCAGCTTGACGACGAAACTCTTTTCCCTTCTAAGATTGGTGAGTTAATGTTGTAGAAGTAGTTTTCTTTCTAAATGATAAACATGATGTTCTTCTAACACTATTACTTTTTAAAAAATTCATAGAACCTACCAGAATCCCCTCCAAAAAGATTTATATATTCCCTCCACCCATGTTTGTGTCTGCTTGTGTTTCGTCACCAACACTGGTTATTCTTTTTTTTTCCCATCTTTTCTAATTAGGGTGCACACATTTCTGTTTTAACATGTATTTTTAAAATATTGATGAGGTCAAGAATCCTTTTATGTTTTGATCATTGTGTGTTTTCTGTTTATCCTTTACCCCATTGCTTTGTATGTTAAGAATTTTAGTCCTTTGTCATACATGTTGTATGTATTTTCCTCAGATTGCCTTTTGTCTTATTTTTATTCATGTGGTGTTTTTGCTGTGTATAATTTTCTCATTTTTTTCCTCTTGATCTTTTCCTTTTTCACTTCTGAACTTTAATACAGTGTTTAAGACAGTGATTTGAAAGGTTTTCTCTACTTCAAGATTAAAAAAATATTTATTTAATACTTCTATAGTTTCATTTTTGCATTAAATTTTTCGTTTATCAGGAAATTTTTTAATAAAAATTCTGCCTTCATTTTTTTCCAGTTTGTCCCCATACAGTTTATTGAATAGTCTTTTTTTTTCTCCTGATTATCATATGTGTCCACCAAATTGCCGTATATTTTGTGGTCTTTTAATCTCTTCATCTGTTGCTGTAGAAATTCTATACTGTTTTAATTACTGTGACCATACATCTCTTAGCATCTTGTAGGGCTAGTCCCCTTCCTTGATCTTCTTTTTCAGAATTTTCACAGCTATTCTGGGATATTTGTTCTTCCAAAGAACTTAGAATCATTTTGTCAAGGTAAAAAACAAAAACTTTGATATTTTTATTATGATTGCATTCCATTTGTAGATTAATATTCTTGTTCTCTTTACAACACAGTCTCCCTATCCATGAACAAGCTATATTTCTTCATATCTTTTATTTATTTAAGTGCTATTTCCTCTTGTTAAGTTCTGTAGTTTACTTTATGTTAATCCTACATGTTTCTAAAATTGATTTCTAGGCGTTTTGTTTTTTCTTGATATCTGGTTTCCATCTGCTTAATGTTTGGTGTATAGGAAAGCAGTTGATTTTCATGTGAATTGTATAATTGACCATCAGACTCCCATTACTTCTGTTAGTTTTTGATTGATTCTCTTGGTTTTTTTAGGTATACAATCACAGCACATTAAAATAATGTTAATCTTGCCTCTTTTCTGATGTGTGTACTTGTTTAACTCTTTTCTGATTGCACTGGCTAGTACTTTCAGAGCAGTACTGAACAATGTTGAGTAATGGTGATGATGGCAGACATCCTTTTCCTGTTTCCTTAATTCTGTGCAAGTCTTTCTGGGATTCTGGTATTTCAGCATGGAGCAGGAATCTTGCTCTTGTTTAGAGGTGTATGGATTTTTCTTTTTTAAATCATATGAAGGAAGCATCCATCTGTTTTTAATGTTCTTTTTTATAATTTATTTTTTGTTATTGTTGAGAATAAATATAGCAGAACATACACCAATTCAACAGTTTCTGCACGTATAGTTCAGTGACATTGATTATATTCTATGAGTTGTGCAACCATTCTCACCCTAAGTTTCCTATCTAGTTTTTCAAGTTGCTGTTGTCAGTTTGATCCCATACAGATAGATCTTAAAAGAGCTCAGTGCTCAAGGCAGACATTCTTTACTAGTTAAGCTGGGCACCATCCAGTTCTTCTGGTCTCATGGTAAAGGAGCAGTTGTCAATGGGGGCAGCTAGCCACACATTCCATTTTTTCTTCCTATTCCTGGCTCTCCTTCCTCCGTTGTTCCAGACGAATAGAAATCAGTTGTGCTTTGGATGGCTGCTTGCAAGCTTTTAAGATCCCAGGCACTGCGCAGCTAACTAGGAGGTAGAAAAGAAGCACTGAACATGTTATTAGGCCAGTTTACTGGAATGTCCCATGAAACCATTACCTTGAACCTCTAAACCAACAAACTAAATCCTGTGAGGTATTTGGTTGTACATAAGCAGTCTCAGCAGCTACTTTTTTGTTCTTGTTGCAAGTATGTCATCACACAGTTGTTGGCAATGTGACTTTTTACAGGTGTACAATTTATTGGCAGCTATTAAATTAATTGGCTGTGCAACCCTACCTTTAATCGATGCTATTTTTTCATCACCGTAAACCAAAACTTAAGTACTCCATAAGCAATAACCCCCTCCTTTCCCCTCTCACCTCTGGTAACCACTGAAAAACTTTGGTCTCTATGCGTTTGCCTTTTTTGTCTTTTTATGTAAGTAAAGTCATATAATATTTGTCCTTTTGTGATTGACTTATTTCCTTTGGCAAAATGTCTTCAAGCATCATCCTTATTGCATCATGTATCAAGACTTCATGTCTGAAGTTTCCTGAATACAACCAAACACTTCGAGGGACAGAGTAGCAGGGGCGGGGGTCTGGAGACTATGGTTTCAGGGGACATCTAGGTCAGTTGGCATAACAAAGTTTTTTAAGAAAATGTTCTGCATCCCACTTTGGTGAGTGACGTTTGGGGTCTTAAAAGCTAGCGAGTGGCCATCTAAGATGTATCAATTGGTCCCAACCCACCTGGAGCAAAGGAGAATGAAGAACACCAAAGACACAAGGAAAGTATTAGCCCAAGAGACAGGAAAGGCCACATAAACCAGAGACTTCATCAGCTTGAGACCAGAAGAACTAGATAGTGCCCAGCTACCACCAATGACTGCCCTGACAAGGAACACAACAGAGAGTCCCTGATGGAGCAGGAGAAAAGTGGGGTGCAGAACTCAAATTCTAGTAAAAAAGACCAGACTTAATGGTTTGATTGAGACTGGAGGGACCCAGAAGAGATGGCCCCCAGACTGTTAGCCCAAAACTAAAACCATTCCCAAGGCCAGCTCTTCAGACAAAGATTAGACTGGGCTATGGGACATAAAATGATACTTGTGAAGAGTGCGCTTCTTAGCTCCAGCAGATACATGAGACTAAATGGGCAGCTCCTGTCCAGAGGCAAGATGAGAAGGCAGAGAGGCTCAGGATCTGGTTGAATGAACATGGGAAATCCAGGGTGGAAAGGAGGAGTGTGCTGTCACAGTATAGGGAGAGCAACTAGGGTCACATAACAGTGTAGGTGTAAAATTTTGTATGAGAGACTAACTTGAATTGTAAACTTTTATTTAAAGCATAACAATAAAAAAGTGGGCGGGGGGAGATAAAAAAGACCAGTTCACTTGCTGGCTGAGTAGTATTCAGTTGTATGTGTGTACCACATTTTGTTTATTCATTCATCTGTTGATGGTCATTTAGGTTGTTTCCACCTTTTGGCTGTTGTGAATAATGCTGCAGTGGACATTGGTATACAAATTTCTGTTGGAGTCTCTGCTTTAAAGTCTTTTGGGTATATAGTTAGGAGTGGAATTGCTGAGTCAAATGGTAGTTCTGTTTTTAGTTTTTTGAGGAACCTCCACAGAGTTTTTCCCACCAGCTGTACTGTTTGCATTCCCACCAGCATGGCAAAGGGTTCCAATTTCCCCACATCCTCCCTAACATTATTTTCTTTTTTTTTAAATTTTAGCCATCCTAGTGGAACTGAAATGGTATCTCATTGTTTTGATTTATGTCTCTCTGATGGCTAATGATGTTGCATATTTTTCATGTGTTTGCTGGCCATTTGAATGTCCTCTTTTGTGAAATGTCTGTGTAAGTCCTTTGCCCATTTTATGATTGGGTTATTTGTCTTTTTGTTGTTAAGGTGTCGAAAGTTTATATATATTTTTGCTATTGGATTCTTATTGGATGAATGGTTTCCCAAGATAGTCCCCTAGTCAGTAGCTTGTCTTTTCACTTTTTTGGTCAAGTCTTTTAATGAACATAAGTTTTTAATTTTTATGAGGTCCCATTTATTTTGTCTTTTGCTGTTTGTGCTTTTGTTATTAAATAATCCATTGTTAAAAGCTAGGCCTGACCAGAAGGCAGAAGGGGACAAGGAAGCTGGTGATAGGGAACCCAAGGTTGAGTAAGGATATTGTTGATGTGTTGTGAGATTGTTAACCATTGTCATAGGGCAACGTTTGTAGTAACTGTTCAGTGAGAAACTATTTTGTTCTGTAAGCCTTCATCTTAAGTGAGAATAGCAGCACAATTGGAAGAGTATAGTCAATGTCACTGAACTGTGCATGTAGAAATTTTTGAAATGGTGTATCTTTGGCTATGTGTATTTTCACCAAAAGAAAGGTTGAGAAGTTAGAGCGTTGACATGTTGTGGGGTTGTTAACCAGTGTCATAAAACAACATGTGTACTACTGTTTCATGAGAAACTATTTGTTCTGTAAGCCTTCACCTGAAGTGCAATAAAAAAACAAAACAAAACTGGAAAACAAGGGGAAAAAAAAGTTAGGCCTGAGTCTTGCCCCTGCATTTTTTTCTAAGAATTTTATGGTTTCAGTTTTCACATTTAGGTCCTTAATCCATTTTGAATTTGTTTTTATGTATGATGTGAGGCATGCTTCCTATTTCTTTTTTCTGCGTGTGGTAATCTTAATTTTCCTGCCATCCATTTTTATTACAAAAACTTTATTAATTCAGGAATGGTTGGAGTTTTAGCAGATACCTTTCTGTTTTCTGTTGATGATGTTAAGATTTTCTCTTTTTTTTTTTTAATGTTCTACTGGAAGATATTTTTTGTTTTTTTTTTTTATTGTACTTAGATGAAGGTTTACAGAACAAACTAGCTTCTCATTAAATAGTACACATATTGTTTTATAACATTGATTAACAACCCCAGGACATGTCAACACTCTCCCTTCTTGACCTTGGGTTCCCTATTACCAGCTTTCCTGTCCGTTCCTGCCTTCTAGTCCTTGGCCCTGAGCTGTTGTGCCCCATTAGTCTTTTTTTGTTTCATGGCCTGTCTAATCTTTGGATGAAAAATGAGCCTTA